CACCAATCCCGAACTTCCTTTCAACTAAACTAAAAAAGCTACAAAAACAGCTACGCGACCCCTCTGTGAGTTATTTTTCCACACTTCGACGAATTAGGGAAATTCACGACCTAGTCACGAAAATGGAAACACAAAAGACCATAGCAGCAGAACATCGGGCACTAGAATCCCCCGAACGAACAGCTCAGATGTTTCAGAAACTACTGAGTAATCATCGACAGTCAGGACCACGAACTATTATAAATGAATTAGGGCAAGTTATAACCAATGATAAACAAATAGTAAACTTATTCAACAGATACTTTTCAGCTAACTACACAGTCGAAGAGGGAACCATCCCCCAACCGACCGAGATGACTGAACGCATCCTTAGTGAGATCCATTTTAGTGAAGAAACTGTTAAAGTAGCCATTAAACAACTATCAAACACCAAATCCTATGGGACAGACAAAATCCCACCATGTATTCTGAAGCATATGACATATGCTCCAATACTCCTATCTAAGTTATTCACCCTACTCCAGTCAAGTGCAATTTTTCCGGACATGTGGAAATACTCGACCATTGCGCCCATATTTAAAAGCGGCAACCGATCTCATACCAAAAACTATCGTGGTGTTCACCAAACACCGGCTATTGCTAAAATCCTCGAGAAAATAGTATATAACCAATTGCTAGACCATCTCCTGAACGCCAACCTCATTCCCTCCTCTCAACATGCATTTTTGCCCAAAAAGTCATGTCAGTCCTGCCACCTTCCCTTTTTGGAATTCGTTTCCAGCAATAGAGATGATGGAAACACAGTAGCTTCAATATACTTCGATCTAAGAAAGGCCTTTGACAAAGTCCCCCATAAAAGACTACTGATAAAGCTAAAAAGTCATGGAATTAGGCCACCCCTTCTTGATTTTCTTAAATCTTATCTTCAAAACCGATACCAGGTGGTGCAAATTCGAAACGTCGTTTCAGAACCATCCCCTATTACCAGTGGAGTACTTCAAGGCACTATCCTAGGGCCCCTTCTATTTCTTATATATATTCACGACTTATCGTCCATATCTGTCTCAGCTAAGACCTTTTTATATGCGGACGACCTTAAAATTGCATATGCATATAACGGGAATACAGTAGCCAATATTCATAGAACAATTCAAACTGATCTCAGAAAACTCAGCGAATGGAGTAGTCAGTGGCAGATGCCCTTTTCACCCGAAAAATGCCATCTCCTGATATTTGGCCCACAAAAACTTCCCCCCCATAATATTCGAGGATGATGAAATAACACAGGCCCAATCTGTAAAAGATTTAGGTCTCAGCTTTACAAATACCCTTGATTTATCTCCCCACGTCCAACAAATATCACCGAAAGCCACTCGCCTGTGTGGATTCATATGTAAAAATTTCACCTTAAATGCACTAAGAATACAACTGTTCAAAATGTACGTTTTACCTCTCCTAGATTACTGTTCAATTTTCTTCGGCATAATGCCCTCAGACGGCCGAAAGAAACTAGAAGGCATTCAGAGACGTTTTACTAGATCTTTGTCTAGAAGTGATGGCATCCAGGGTTCATACTTAGAACTATATCATAAATACGGTCTTCGACCACTCTGGTTTAGAAGACTTCAAAATGGTCTAAACTTCCTATTCAAGGTCACCCACGATCAAGATATTCTCAAAATGAATTTACTTACCAACCAAAACGCCCCTAGAAACACCAGAAATAGCGAGGATATTATAAAGATTCCAAAATTCACAAAGTCCCAACGATCAGATTTCTACACCATAAGATATGCGACTATCTGGAATTCTCTTCCAGGTTATATCCGGAAAAGTCGAACCCTAATCGAATTTAAAATAAAAACTAAGAAATTCCTTTCAAACAACAATACACATTTATTTTTGAATAAGATAGGACATTTTTCAAGTCAATTCTTTGATATTGAATTTGGTCCAAAAGGGCTCTGATGATGCCAGCCGATTGAAAAATACCGGAACATAGCACTAAAAATAATCAAATTTATAAAAGATAGCATCATTGATTAACATAGAACAGATAATGATATTCCTCTATTTTCCTCCCTTTCTCGTTTTCATCAGCTATGTCACCTGGCACTAAATATCCCTTATAAAGATAATAAAAATATACCCTTCGATAAAACCCTGCATATTAGTCGTGCGTATGTCTATATTAAAGCCATATTAAACATATATAGAACTATATTAGGTCATAGTAAACAGTCGACCACCACTCCTATAATTTCACATTAACAAAACAATATGATGCATGATTCAACAGTATTTTGACAGTTTTGATTGTGACTTACCATTGAATGCTTCTTACTCCTGATATATATTCATCTTTTCCAGCTCTTAGTACAGACAACGATGGTAAGCCTCCTGAAAAATACGTAGGAACTGCGCAACCGCCCCCTTACAGCTTGTAGGAAACTCTAGAATGCCAGACCACGTGCGGCGGCCATCTTGGAGAAGGTTCTAGAAAGCGCGCCCCGTAAGGGGCGCGCCCGCCGAACTTTCCTATATTTATACGCCAGGCTGTTAGTCGCAATTTGGCTTCTTACAA